AAAAAAAAAAAAAAAAAAAAAAAAAAAAAAAAAATAAAATATACCGACGAATTGAATACCTCCTTCTTTTGGGAAGTCGGTCAAAAATCAGCGTAAAGTTGTAAAACGACCTACTCAAATTTTTTTTTTTGTAATTTCAGGTGGAAGGGGTTCGAAATAGCAGAAGACTTTCAAACTTCGACTCGAGAGGCTCAACGAGTACGGAGAAGATTGATGATGCTCAGCCTACCTTCCGGTCGAGGAGCTATCGAAGACGCGAGGAAACAGCTTCACCCGCACCCAGAGATATTACCAGATCAAAATCCAGAAATAGAATAACAGAGTCTTTAACTTCAAATGTCGTCTCAGAACAATCTCCGACAGAAAACGGAAGGAATGACCGATTTGATTCTAGAAGAACTAATCGCATACGAACCCGACCTTTAGAAAGCCAAAACTCCGTAACAACCTTTCCAAGTAGAGACAGTTCTGTAAACAATAAAGCACGACAAAGTAATAGAAGAGCACAGATTACTACCACCACAGTGTCACCTTTACCACCATCTTCATCGGTTGCAAATGATATCAGAAGAGATGTAAGTAGACGAGCTCAGACAACGACCACAGAAGCTTCTACTATTCTGTCTTCACCAACTGTTGATGAATTTAAAAGTGAAATCACAGCTTCTACTTTCGATGATTTTACAAGAACGGTTCCAAAAGAAGAAGACATTACTACTGTTCAATTTAAAAGGAGAAGTACAACAGCTAGAAGTATAGAAGTAGAAACACCAACAAGCGCAAAACCTGCTAGAACACGCGGACGCGTTAGTACAAAATCAAACATTAAATTGGATGATATGGCAAGTTCTGGTGCAACTAATGTATTAAGCATATCAGAAAATAATCTGACTGAGGAAAGATCATCTGAAGATGCAAGAAAATCACGTAAGTTAAGATATAGGACACGTTTAACAGAAACTGATACAAATCTTACCGGTGAGGGGATCACAACTTCTAATGAAATCATAAAAACTTCAAGAAAACAACAAAAGCAACCTGAAAGTAGGACAACAACATTAGCTCCAAGTGAACGAAAAGTCCAGAGAAATATAGAACGTAACTCTTCAAAGTCAGCGGCAGTTAAGTCTATGAGAGTTGTTCGTCGACCATTATCAAGAGGAAATGAAAACGGGACAGCACTTCCTAAAGTGAAAACTTCAGATGAGATTGGAGACGATGATAACTATCCAGCAAGTTTTAAAGCTTTAATTCAAGCTAAGAATGCTTCGGTGAGTAGTTATTACTAACGAAATGTAAATTTTGTTTATGAATATTCTATGAAAATATAATGGACTTAAACATTCACTTTGTTTATTATCCTCATAAACCCTTAAATATTCGAAAGTTGGCTTCTGTAAGTTATTAACAACATGTTCTTTTATTGTCACCATTTAGCTCAATATTTTATAGACAACTTATTTACAATTTCAGACACAAGTGAGCTCTCCACCCAGCGAGAGTTTATCAGTGAAAGCAACACATACAGCTATCAACACTAACACAAAACCCTCACTGCCTTCCAACACGAGTCTTGAATCAAACAATATTACACGGGTAAACCAATCGTATCAATCAAATAAATCTTTAGCATAAGCTACTTATAAAGTGTTCTCATACGTTGTTCGTTATCACGGTACTTTATTATCTTCATGTGTTCTATATGGCGTCGATACCCATTAACGTAATTAAATAAAAAAAATCTGATTTTACAAATGTAAACATTTCAGCTTCGCAGTAAGTTAAACGCAACTGAAAATGATGTAAAGAATGGAGATGATAAACCAAGTGAATCGACTTTGGATTCTCCCAAACTAAAATCTCAAGAATATAAATTGCGAGGATCGTATTCTTCAAGAGCACGAACGTTGAAAGCAGACAATGTAAAAACTACTACTACTAGTTCTCCCAATTCGGTAAAAAGTTCTTACAAATTCACTAGAAAATTAAGAACAACAACATCAAGCCCAGCAGAAATAAAATCGTCTGAAGGTCCTAGGAAATTTAAAAGATTTGAATCTGGGCAATCACCACAAACAGCATCGCGACCGCTTTATTCAAGAAAAAAAATCGGAAACAATAACAACAAACCTGCAGACGCCGTAACTAGTGATAATAATAGCAATAATTTGAGGACCAGCGTCTTAAATAACAGTGTGAAATTGCCAAGAACGTCTTATTATTCACGTCTAAGAAACAATATTAAAACAACGACGGAGTCTGTTAATGATAACATAAATGATCCTTTTAAAGCTGACAAGAAAAAGGAAAATACTGCTGAAATGCCTTTAATATATACTATGTTAAATAAACCAACCAAAACTGTGGCTGAGGAAATTAAGAGCGATGCTAAAGATGAGTTTTTGTTAGCAGTAAGTAGCAAAGAATCGCAGGAAAATAACGTGGAAAATGATTTAATAACTAATGCCGAGGAGTCTGAAAACATGCCTGTGATAAATGTTTTCCCAACTACACAAAAATATCACGCAAATTACAAAGACCAGAGTCTGGGGAATGAACGGCAAAACAATGAATATGTAGTCACTGCTGCAACGCCTGCAATAAGAAATATACAAACAAGAAAGTATACGCGTAAAATTTTTAAATCTAAAGAAAGAGTAGAATCTTCAACAGTTAATCCTGTATCAAAATCAAAAGAACGTACATTACGCAAATATAGTGATACATTCTCGAAAACAACTGAAGCTTCTACGAATGGCGTAAGTATCATCTTTATCAACATACACAATGATAAACTGTACTCGCTATTGCCATCATACAACATTTACAGATAACTTCCGATCCTGAAAAACCAAAAAGCAGATTTAGTTCGAAATACAGAGCCTCAAATCTTGATAAAACGTTTTACAAACCCACAGTACCGACAGTCACAACAACAACTGTAAGTAAAATCACAACAATTACATATTTAATATAAAAACATCCAAATTACAATAAAATTAACACAATTTACATAGTCTATTTACAGAAATAGAACTCTATGAACGACAAAGCCCCTTTATGAAATTGGCCGTAAAACTGGTATTTTATATACTTGAATATTTGCTTAGGATCATATCATCAAACTAAATAACCTTAAACTCAATTAACTTGTCATATATTTCATGCTACAATATTTAGTTATTAGTTTTAAAAAGTACTCGTACATCTTCAGATAAATTTGCTCATGAAAGAATTGTTGCATTAAATTAATAATTACTAGTAACTTTGTGTGAAATGTTACGTTACTACTGTAGAGTAAAATGTATAAATTTATTTTACTTACGACGATAGGTAAAATGTATTGTATTTAGGAAGCTTTAAAAATTCAAAAACCAAATACGTTACTTCATGAAAGATATTTAAATGCTAAAATTTCAATCTTTCGGTGTTTTGTTCGCGTAATTTTTGTTGTCATAAGTAATTAGAAAATTTTCATTACTAAAGGCATGGCTGAAATTCTTCGTGACTGATCATCAACTGACAAAGTCTATAAGGCAGCCGAAGTGGGTCGATGGCAATGATTTTAATGATGATACAACAGAATTCTTATCAAGACAGAACGCTACTACGATGTCATTCACTCATCAATCATCTGAACTGGTTAATGGAATCATTTAGATCTTAACAAATACTAACGTCTTCACTAAAGATTTCAACATCTGTATTCTCTATAATTTATATTGAAGAGGTGCTTGTTTAAAATCCAACTGCACTTTTTAACTTAACACGAACTGAGTCTGCAAACTCGCGTACAAAATAATATCATAAACGTATTCTTTTTATGCCTTAAAATGTCTGCACAAGTCTCATAATTTTAATGAAAACTTTTTAGGGATTATTAGATATTGCATGTCAATGAAAAATTTGATTTTGTTACAGTTATCATTCATTTTAAGCTTTTTAATTCCGTTACGCCATATTTAACTCATTAAGTAATTGACTTTAGGATAAGGTTTTTATGTATGTCTTATTTCGTTTTTGTATAATCTTTCCTACCAAAAGTAATAAAGAGGCTTTGGTATTGCACGTGTTTTCACTTAAAACCTTTGGGTATACCTCACATGAATTTTCGCCTAATATTTCAAACACTTTACTTACTTTCTTTTTTTATGGGTGAGATATCTTCTTATTTCAGGAAGTGGGTGAAGAAATTCTTTTAGGTCCAGACATGAACGCTATCTCTTTTACTCAAACACGAAGTGCATTGTCTTCAGCAGATTTAAGACTTTCTGAGAGTTTAGAAAAGCCATCACATGTCATGAACGTAGAAGCCTCAAATCACTCACCATCAGTTACTGTATCTATCTTTGATGCTTTGGCTGAAATTCTTACGTCTACACCTAGAATACAAATATCTACAACAACAGACGTACCGCAACAAACATTTACTGATAGTGTTGTTAAACAAACACTCAATAGCGTGAGTAGTAACAATAATGTAAATAGTGTCAGCGACTTGTCGAGTCAGGGCACATCTACGTCAACTGAAAGTTTGACCACAATAACTACTGTACAAAACACTGATCAGACTACACCTACTGTGCTTAACCGCTTGTCGGTAGAGGAAAGTGTTTCACCGTCACTAAATATCGAGGAAAATACAATGTCCACGAATAACCCCCAAACTACCCTTACTCCCACTCCAACTACTCCTATTTCGGCAAGGAGACCTTTTGCCATTAAAGTTTTGTATTCAGATACTGAACGGCCGACAGACGTACCAATGACTTCATCTGAACCTACAACAAATTGGAGTACGACAGAAAATACAAAAATGGTATACAATACTGTGTCCGATCTTATACTATCTAATAACAATTTAGTGTCGTCAGAACTAACAAGCATGTTATCGAATAACATAAAAGATATAATTGGAAATTTAGATGAAGAAAGTAGATCTAGATTATCCGTTGATATGGCAAAATTGTTAAAAACACTTATTCCCCGAGTTGTAAATAAAGATCCTTCCCTTAATGATCTTGATAATGTTCCTAATACTACACCTTACAGTTTGGAGGATATCAGAGATACTGAGAATATAGATATAAATAATGTTGCTATTAATACTAACGAAAAGATTAATATTGACAGTAAAAATTTCCTTCAAAATGTACAGGATATGAATGTAAATATTGCACAAAGTACCACTGATTCCCCAATTAGTGACGCTATTATAAATAATAGTGTAAATAGCATAAGTGATTCCGTTTTTAGCACCGTTTTGCCTTTATCAGAAAGCGAGGCAAAAGTAGCTGATATCGTAACTACAACCCAAACTAGTAATACTAATTCAATGCCAACTCTAGATTTATCTTCAACAACTGTAACGACTACACCTACTAATCAATTACCAACCAATATTGAAATATTAGATACAGCTACTTTGTCTAGCTTAGAAACGAGCACTGCAAATGTAGATAATATAAGCGTAGACACTGTGAAAAGTCCAACTATAGATCCCACTAATGCACCTTTGCCCGTTTCATTATTCACAAACTTAAATATTGACGACTCTAATCCGTCCGTCCGTATAAACGATAACAATAATTTAACTTCAATGAATAAATTAGACAATCGTTTTGGGACCGCGAACTTTGACAACACTGACATTGATGACCCCAGCCAAATATCCCGTTTCCAATTATGGGTTCTTTCCAAAAAAGCTCGCGTTTTAAAAATGATCGAACAACTAATAAGGGAACATAATGATGAAATAGCAAACGGACCATTGACTGAGGTATTTAACCAATCTAATAATGTTACCCTTTCTAATAGATTGACTGAGATAATAAATACAATGGACTCTACAACTTTGTCTAATAATCCGAGTATCGAGATTACGACTGACTTTGTAGTTACTACTCCTACTTCAGCTACTTCTAATATACCATCTGAGTTATCTGAAACAGTCGATTTCCTAAATAATCGCATAAAAGCTGACATTATATCTCCTTCTACGACCATTGTTAATGATAATTTATCAACTGCTATTCCTGACTCTACTGAAGTGGATCCGGTATCTGATGTTACTGAAGTAATTACTACTACAATTACGAATGAAATTGTTGATATTTTACTACGTACAAATGCTAACTTTATCGACCAAACCACAGTAAGAGGAACAACAAATACTGAAGAAGAAAAAGAGAATATAATTTCAACTACAGAAACAGTTGATCAGGTCAAAGCTGATATAACAACACCTAATTTAAATATAGAAACGACAACAGAAACAAGTATAACAACTGAAAGTATTTTAGAGACAACGACGCAAGCAGGTATCGAAACCACCACTCTTACAATATTAAATGAAACTAAATCAAATGATGAAATAACTGTCACCTCGCAAATGAACGTTGCCAGTCAGCCAATCATTCCGAAAAAAGATTATGTAATATTTGGAATACTGCCTAATAATACGGTAGTACGTAAAGATCCTAATGATAATGTACTGGAAACGTTAACGGAGGCAAGTCCGTACATTATATATGGTGTGCTGCCAAATAACACAGTAATACGCAAATTTCCAAATGGAACTAGAGTACCACGTATCATGCAAAAAATTGACGTACTACCAATCAGTCCATGGAGTCTAAGAAATCCATACAGCCCCATCCATAATAATCCGGCCATTGTCAGACCGCAGTCTAACCCCATCCGAGTATCCACTAATATTGTGACATCCACCGACACAAATAACGAAACGGAAAACCGATTAACCACCGACACTGTAAATAACCAGCAAATAATGGTATTGTTCTTAAATTGTTTAGCTTGAAAGCAACGCTTGGGGCTTTGGTATTTTTCGAGGGTTTAATAAGGCATTTTAAGCTTTTACTGATAATAGGCAAAACACTGTCTGTATGTTGCACCTTGACGCTTTAAAACATTTAACATAGCAAGGCGTAACATATATTTCGTAATTGCAGATACCTTCATCGGCACTTAATTTAAAAGATAGCAGTTCCTTTGGCATAACTACTGCCACTATTAAGCCGTCTGCTGAAAAAAGCACTGCCTCGCATGTTTTGAACTTACGCACTACTACAATGCTACCTTCTATTCATGAGATTCTGCTTAATAGTTTATCTTCAGCCACTAAAGAGGAAATGGTTAAATCATCAATGAAAAGCTCTACTCCTGAACCAAGAATATTAACACTGGATATCGATCCGGAGGTATAATAATTAAATAAGTCATGTAGTTGTCACATAATTTTTCATATCCTTGCTGATTGTCATAATTTTTTTAAAGGTAGTTAGAGTGTAAAGGATATAAAAATAAAAATATACTACTTGTAACTTCATGCATGACGAATCATAATTTTATATTTTTAATGTTATTTAATGAAGGTAAGTGGTGAAGGATTAGTTATATTTAATAATATTGAACGTATGGGTATTTTAATAGATCTTATTTCAAAATTTGATATTTAATTAATATTATTTGTCATGACTTGCAGACTAAACAAATACGAACAGAAAAACCTAACGATGGCCAAGGAAACACTGTTTTTAAATTCATACCCATTGACGAAGTTACTGTTCCTCCACAAGAAACTAACGTCTTTAAAATTGCTTCAACTAAAGCACCCTTGAAAACAAATAGTGAAAAAGAAGTTCAGATCGTGACTCCAATAACAATAGCTGAAATTACTACACCAGGAATTCAGACACGCTTAAAAAATACCGATGAACCGACAACCGCTCAGCCGACTGTTGGAACCCCTAATGGAGTGACCCTTGCAGATAATAACGTACAGTCAATCATGACAGTTGTCACAACCAATCCAACAATAGTTCAACCAACCACGGACAGTACAACATCCAATTTAAGAATAACCACTTTTAATACTGTAGAAAATTCAAACACAGTAACAGTGAAAAATGTAATAACTACATCGGCACCTACCACGACAAGATTTATACCAGAAATGCTGACAACCACAAATATGTTTACAACTAATTTTCCAAGCACCACTGAGTCGGCACCCGTGCCAAATAATTCTATTTTTGAAACAACAGAAATGACGAAAACTACCACAGTTCAGTCAACTCAAAACGCTGTAAAATCAGCTGATGTACAAAGCAACAGTAACAAAAATCAAGAAAATGCAAATTTACTTTTAACACTTCAATCAATTTTATCAACAAATACTAAATCGTCATCGTCTCACGAGATCGATCAAATGAAAATGTTACAAGCATTGCTATCAGGCGCTAAGGTTAACGTACAAGATAAAGCAAAGTCCCCACAAACTACAACTGTCCGCTCAATAGAAGACGAAATTCGTCAATTCGAGGAAGACACGAAATTTTTAAAAGCACTTTTAAAAGCTACTGGTCGAAATCCAACAGATTTTTTTCCAAGTATCGATGATGTAAAACCAACTTTAGCGCTAACAACAACAGTTAAACCTATAACCACTACTATGACTACAACTACTACTCCGGCACCTCCGTTATCAACGACAACTACTGCAGTACAATCAACAGTTTCTATTGACGAAGATTTAAAGAAAATCAAAGAAGACACTCAATTACTGCAAGCATTATTACAGGCCACCGGCCAAACTGTTGATACACTCAATTTGCCAATTATATCTGGGATAACATCTAATGTGCGAATTGCTTCCAATCCTCTGACAACATCTATTGAATCTAATCCTACAACTCCAATGAATATTCGTCCAGTCTACACTACAATTCAACCAACAGAAAAAACTACCACGCAGACTGAATCCACGCAAACTAGTTCTACATTAACTACTTTACAGGAACAACAAAGTACTGTAAAAGAAGACATTGGCATCTCAACCACATATCGACCCGTCCAGAGAAGATTAACAAGTACGACACCTCCTGAAATATTTTCAACTATAAGCGCCAGACGAGCTCCAAGCTTAGTGCAATTCACTACTGAACAACCAAGTACATCAACATTTTCCGTGGAGGAAGATTTAGCATTTCTAAATAATCTGGTAAGATAAATGAAATATTTTCCATCAACCATAATTTTAACTAAATATTCATTACATTCATAACATGACATATATATATTTTCAGAAAACGGTTCTAAATACTAATAATAACGATGACCCGGAAGCAGACCTTGCAAACCGTGTCATTGCTCTGGCTGTAGAAAGAAGTTTGAACGAATTACAAACTGGAACTCAAAAGACTCCTGCTGGAAATATTACCCCAAATGTTGTCAACCCTATTCGCACAACAACAAGACCAACGACCACCACTACTAGAATGACTACAACAACTGAATATATTCCTCCAGTCTCCACGCAAAGTACTCCGTCTATTGAAGATGATATCAAACAATTTGAAGAGGATACGAAACTTTTACAAGCACTATTAAAGGCAACAGGACAAGATCCATCGAAGTTCAACATACCAACGTTACCAAGTGTAAATGTAAGTCCCAAATTTTCTTCTGTTGTTGAAGAGGACTTAAATTTACTAGCAAACCTCCTTGCCTCACCATCTCCATTAAATGAACCTTTTGATTCTTTGACGCAGAAGCCTAATAAGAATAATCAAGCTGCCGTGATCACTTCGTCACAAACAACAACAAAACCATTTGGAGTAAAAATTGCTGTGAAAGATGAATTAAAAAATGTTCAAGACGATACGCAATTATTACAAACTTTAATAAAGTTAAAAGACGCACAAGAGACAACAACCCAAAGGAATAAAATTGCCATCACAGGTAACTCTTTATTTAAATTAATAATGTCAAACAAAACGTTAGGAAAGATATCAAAGGGTTTTATAAAAGGTTGGTTTAAAGCATGTAGGTGTAACTTTCTTTCCTCCTCTTGAAGCAGTACAAATCTGGATGATTTTTAAAGATTTTTTTACTTTTACTGTACTAGGTCAATCTTCCGATGAAGCTCTTAAAAAGTTAATCCAAAAAGCAAAACCCACAGCTATGGTATCGGAAGCGACAAAATCATCTGTCTCCCTGAGTACCGAATTTGGAAACAGCAACGACGCTCTCCTCGCAGCGTTACTTAAAGAGCAAGGATTCGGTCCAACCACGGCAAGTTCTTTGGATGAACAAGTTCGACTCGCTGTTAGTTTTTTCTTTTCTTTTCTAATAACACTTTCTTTTCGCTATATAAAAGTAAACGGGTAAAAACATTGGATTTAAACATCATAAGGTAAATTTTAACCAAACTCATTGTAACACTTATCATTTAATTCTTTAAATGTCTCATTTATCTTCTCCCATACCATTGTTCTGTCTGTGTTCTTCTATGTCTTGGCTTCGTCGTCTTTTTAACAGTTTTGATAATTTATCATTGACTTTTGCGTTCATTTACATGTGACTAGGAACATATTTTAGACCTAACTATAACCTCTGTAGGCTTTACTGAACCAAGTGGTAGTGACGCCGAAGGCCAGGCGGACGACGACACCTCCTCCGCCGCCTCCGCCGCCGCCGGCGCCGCGCCGGCCTATCCTGGATGGCCTGGCTTGGCTCTGGCAGCAGTGGAGGGACACGGCGCCGGGCACCGGTGGCGCCGGGGGTGCAGGTAGTGCAGGGGGCGCGACGAGCTCGGGGGGCCCCAGGACGAGTAGCAGGCGGCCTGCCCCCTCACACGCGCCCGCGCCTGCGCCCCGTCCCACAGCGGCTGCGACGCCGGCTCCTTCGAGAGCCAACTGGTTTGGCTCCGGACCATTTGTGGGAAACGCTGACGATAGACCGGCGTCCAATCGAGTGGGTTTCTCCTCTCTTTTACTTAAATTATGTGAGTGGGGATAAGGTGATGGATATTTTTGGTGTTAGATAAAATACAATTCACAAATAGGAATAAACAAATATTTTTTTTACTTTTATATAAAAATTTACTTCATCAATCCATCCTAATTAGTTAAAGTTATCGTTATAATACTTTGTATGGATTTATTAATTCCTATACATAGGCAAAAATTATTGCTTAATTTCATTATTAACAGAATACTTAAAAAAATAAATTACAATACATATTTTATTTCGTATATGTATTTGTATTGCATTCTATTTCGTTGCTTGTAACAGAAAATAACAAGTAAAAACTATTTATTATAAGTAGGTTAGTTTAGTATAATTTTGAATATTGTGTATTATATATAAATAATTTGGCCTGTGTAAATAAAGTTTTCCTTATGTATAATATATCACAATTTGCAAGGTATTACTAATTAAAAATGTAAATAAAATGTATATAGAAATTGTATGGCGCTAACCTTTTCATATGTGATATCAAAAATTGTCCTATCTTGTGTGAAATTGTAAAAAATCCACACATTAAGTTATTGAAAAGCATTAACACTTCATATGTATTTTAAATTTTATTTAGTCAACATAAAACATGATTCATTTTTAAGATATCTTAATAATTGTTGCATGTTGTGCAAATATTTGAAATAAAAGGTATTTTCGGAGAATTAATTCCATTTGATTTTCTCCTTTGTCCAGTGGCTGATAACTCCATTACTAAGTTCACTAACCTCTTAAAGTAGTAAAAAGTAGACGTATATAACAAAGAAAGTAGTAAAAAACAAAAATATTGTAATCCATGTAAAAAAATGTTATAATTATTTTTCAGTTGTTACCACCCCATCCCAATTGTTATAGTTTAATTTTGGTAGTTTTTTGTAAATAACAGTAGATCAGTGATTTTTAGCTAGTAAGGAATTAAGAGTGATGAACATTGGTGAGTAATTTATAAGATTATGTAAGCTAAACTTAAAACTTAATTATTAACCTATTTAGTTGCTTAGTAGAAAATATTGTAAAGTGAGAAAATAATGTATTACACTACTTTATCACAATTTTAAGCACATCAGTAAATATTAGTATGTTTTGTAATAATAAAAAGTTTACGAAGATTTTCTTAATTAACATTGTAATTTACTTTAAAAATGTGTAATATAAATAAATCTTCTTCAAACTAAGGTTATATAAAGGTCTATAAAAATCATAAAGCATCTTCACTCGAAATTTCTAAATCTTAAGTCACTATCGTGCTAACAATTCTCACTTCACAAATCATGTGGTTTCTACACTTGTATAGTCACTTGCACTCTTTATCACGCTTTGATCACTAAAATCGCTTTACATTTGTATCTAATTATATTATATTTAAGCATTTACGAAGCGTAAGTAACTGTACTCACATCACGTAACTAAATAGATACCTCTGGAGCCACCGCGCGCAGTCGCCGCTGAACAAGCACCGGGCAGGGGGCAGCTTGTCTCCGCCGCCATTAACGTTACAAGAGCTTTCTCTCAGTTCCTTGGAGCAGCGATACAGGTACATTACATAATATTGTATTGAAAGTGAACAATTACGCAGTAGGTGTATAGGGTCAGCTGCAGCTATTGAACAGCGGACGAGGAGATTTCAAATTAATGTTTAATATTTTCAGCAATGTATTAATCTCATCATTCTAATGTTAACTAAAACATAATAAATAAAAAAATAACTCTTACTAAATAATATTTGTATTATGTTCTACTACTTAAATATTATGAGTATATTAGAGGAAAATTGAGAGTACCCCCAGTGGTAGAGAAGGTAAGAAGTAAAAGGTTAGCATGGTATCGGCATGTTATGAGGAGGGATGAATCGTATGTTACAAGGAGAATGTCAATTATGAGTGTGGAAGGGTACAACGGTAGAGGTAGACCTAGAAAGAGATGGATTGCGTGAAAGGTGACATCATCAAAAAGGGTGTGATGACTGAGATGACGTATGATAAAGTTATGTGGAGTACAAAAATCTGTTGCGCTGACCCTACGCGAGTAGAATAAATAGAAAGATGATGATGAGTTACTACTCTACCTAATACTATGTGTTTTATATTCCAGGGCGCAGCGCAGACCGTGCAAAACGTAATAAGAGCTGGTCAAAAAGCGGCAACTGACGTATACACAAATGGCTCCGGGTAGATAGGGACATTCTGATGTAATGGACTGCAAAACTTTTCCGAAAGTATAGTACGCACTATGTGTTTTTAATGCTCATGTAAATAGTCTGAAATCAATCGGCCTTTTATTTAAACGGAAGATAAATTGAGGTGTTAAATTCTAGTGTTAAAAAATTGTGAATAAAACTATCTGGATAGGAACGTAGTTGTAAGTTATTGGTGTGTAAATAGAATGAAAATATCAATTGCAAATTGTCCAATACAGGTACTGACAAAGAATGTGATGATAGTTATATTTAAAATAAAATATTTAATTTGTTATGTAAATATTATTTTCTCTCTCTGGTGTTTTTAAAGGGTAGATTTAATTAGTAAATGTTATACTCTAGCCTGTTACTTTCTATCGTGGTGTATATTTAGTTGGAAGTTCTCTTAGTCAAGCTTTTCTTCAACTTTTTAGTGGTGGTAGGTATGATACATAATTTCCCGTCTTCAATACTTTTGTGAATTCCTTGAGCCTTGTTTTATCGAAATCTTCGAAAATCAACGACAATATCGAATTATTTTCTATGTAAAATTTAGAAACGGTGTTGGTTCAATACTGATAACGATTATAATTTCTTTTCTAAATATCTTTGACATAAATATATTTTCTTATGTATATATAGGTTTTAGTTTTGGTGTCTCAAATTACATCATTGCTTGATTCTAAGCGTGTTAGTTTTAAGTAACGTCATTAAACTTAAGTCTAAATCCATGTGCCATTTACGCACGTTCTTAATTTCAAGCTTTTACTGTCTGCCGCTTTTATTTATTTAGTTTTATAATATTTTGATGATCGAATTTTTACTTTGTGACTTTTTCTTGTGCAAGGATTACCGTATCAGTTAAAATTAGTCATATTTGATACAAAATTAGTTGACGACCTTAAAATTTGAATTCGAAAATACTTTAAATGGATGATATTTACTGTCAAAATGTTAAGAACTTTAAATTGTTAAAGTATTTAACCTTGCCCATAAAAGCATAATAAGATTTTAATTTAAAAAAATCAAGCCTTTTCTGCCTTTACTATAAATATAATAACTATATAAGGATTAGGTCGAAAAAAACCTTCTTTTTTTTTGTTTTAATTTTTTATGACAATTATTTCGAATTTAAAAAAGCAAGTTACCAATAATTATGACAACCGCTTTATATTGTAACTTTAAATATATTTTAAGTGCGAACGACATATTTTGTATATATTTGGATAATGTCAAATAAACTAATTTATAATAATATTTTTTTTTATTGAAAGCTTTGAGCTTTCATTTCATTAGCATAGTTCAACCTTTCTACCATTTTACATAGTAATAAATATTATCAATAAGGTTTTGAATGGGGTAAATCCATTTTATAGCCATTTTTAAAAATAGAATCACTAATAGCAAAACAAGCGAGTAACTTTTTGCTACATGAAGCAAAAGTTCGTGCTGAAACTTTGAGCAATGACCAGAAAAAAACAAAAGAACTCGTCAGACGGAACCGTACCTTTTAGGGATGGGGGTAGCCAATATTGATCCTGCTGATGTTAATACAAAAAGTGTTTACGTTACTTCTGATCAAAATTTTAAAAACTGTTTTAGCAATTGTGGATTTCGATTTAATTCAGATTGAAAGATTGCTGTAACTTTTTAAGAAGGCAATTGTTTTAAAAGCTTAGGAAACTTTTGTTTATAGTTGTGAAAATGTACATATTATAGATAGGCAGTTGTTCTTATTTTAAAAATTAATACTAATAAATATAGAAAAAAAGAACGTTTAAAATATATCTTTGTGTTTCTTATAGAGTAACTAGCTGCTGCTCGCGACTTTGTCCGCGTGAAATTATTAAAAAAATAATAAAAACATAGCCTATGTTACTGATAACGTAGCTTTTTAATGATAAAATCATTTTTGAAATCAGCCGAATAGTTTTTGAGTTATTTTAGTACACACAAAAAAAGGACGTTAAAAATATCTCGGTGTTTCTTATAGAGTAACTAGCTGCTGCTCGCGACTTCATCCTCGTGAAATTTAAAAAATAATAAAAACATAGCCTATGTTACTCTCTGATAGCGTAGCTTAATTTTTGAAATAGTTTTTGAGTCGAAGCCGAATAGTTTTTGAGTTATTTTAATACATTCAAAAATACAAATCTTTCCTATGATATTGGTATAGATTCAATGATTTTAAAATAAATTACTGTGACACCTAGTGATAATAATAGCTGTGAACCAGTTAAAACAAGTTTAGATAAAATCCTTATATTATGTACCGGTTAAATGACTTGCTTTTAGTTATTTGACGTACAGATTTTTAAACACTTATTTTTCATATTCATTCGTGTTTTGATTCTTACAAGTTTTTTGTCAAACGACCTTGACTACGCGACAATATCCACTTAAGATTGAAAAACACTTTTTTGTGGTCCTTACTTGTCTATTTGTCCAATAATTTTATTAATAGACTGTGTCCAAGTTAATTTAGTTTGACTTTGTCAATAGGATTATGGGATTTTATGAGAAACATTAAAGTTTGACTAAGCTTTATGAAATGTTATTGAAGAATCCGCTTTCCAATTTTGCTTCTTTATTCTTAAAGGCGCTTGGAACTATTTAAAATGTATGAAGTAGCAGTTACCATTTGAATTACGAAAAATAATCACGAAATAATATATATCGCATTAAAACCCGTTTGTTAACATAATAGCTGTCAATGTTTTTACGTATATTTTATTCATTTTATCTCTTTTTTGATCTACATAACTTGATATTAAAACGACAATAAATCTTTGGTTTCGTATTGGGAATTAATAAACAGTTTAATTGATTTTGGAAGAAATGTATCAGAGATTTTTTGTATGTTTTTTTGTGAATTGAAAGTTTAACCTTGAAATTTACTGTTTAGTTTTATTCATCAATTGTCTTATAAACTAATTAAAAGTAGCCATCATGGTGCTGTTGAAATATGTTATTATTTTTACTGAGAAAAAAGCCGCTCTAATTAGTCAAAGCAAGTTTATGAGTTACAAGTTAGTTTTGCTCCGAGTTCTTTATAAAAGTAGTAAATCAAGCTAGTAAATGTCACAACATGATGTTTTAAATCATTTGATCGTTTTTATCTTGCCCTAGCGATAACTGTAGTTAGTTTACTAAAGGTGGAAATCAAAGAAATGAAAGAATAGTTATTGGACCTTCATTAAATTAATGTTTTTTTTACACTAGCTCAGCATAAATCATCACTAAGGGCCTGTAGTACGAGCCTGTTAAAAAGATGTTTGTATTAAAGATTCAAAATATATATACTATATCTACTGCCACGTAAGAGCGCGTGCACACCCTTGACCAAACTATCGCACAACTGTTTAGTCGCGTTTTTATTATTATTACATAGGTGCGCACACTACTTGAAGTTTAATTGTCCAACTAAGCTGAAATTGGCTGTGAAACAATCGACAATCGCACAACAGTTGTGCGATAGTTTAGTCGAAGGTATCGCCCGCTCTAAATGGAGCTATTTCTTTTAAAAAAATAGTATGTAATATGTGCTATGTAGAGATAAAGATGTATTCGAGTTGGCTTATACTTCATAACAGTATTGTTATCGATTATTTTTAAAAACTGCGGTGGTTAAACGTAGTAAAAGTCGTCAGTAATAGTGTTTTTGACATAAGATTAGAATTCGACATTAATGCGTTATTACTTTTTTTTAGTATTTGTCATTTATTTTAATGAACAATTACTAGCAATCTTGCAAATGAGCTGAAAAAGCTTACTAACCTATTGACTATTTTTATAATAATCTGAACTATTTTCTCGGTATGTTATTAATGTTTAGTTAGTCGATGAATTACCCAAACATATCCGCGTGTGCGGTCACGTACTTGATTTATTCAACTGAACGGATTCTAGCAATTATTAATATAAGATTTTACGCAAAGACTTCAACTAAAGAACCATGGGTTTTCGCTTCAAATAAACGTAGTTTCATTTCTATCGTTCTTTTTGAAATGAGGGAAAACATATGTTGTTCAACAGTTCCGTCAGTCAAAACCCAAAAAAAACACTAGTACGAAACGCCTTCGGACATGACAATCTTTAGCATAATTTAATATAATCTGGGCTTTTCCTAGTATGATTTTTTATTCGCTATTTATAGAATCGAACAGCCTGTGTTTATGAATTCATTGAAATACTTATTACCATTGCAACTCGAACGGAAACGATGGCGCTGAGACTAGAACTAAGGACGTGGCTAACCTGTGGTTATCTTATTTTTGTACTTATGAACTGTTTATGATATTTCAATGCAATAATTGCAAGCAGGTTGGAAGTGAAAGTATCAGAGCAAATCTGCAGACGTCCTTGAGTTGTAAAGTAAATGTCCTTTCACCAATTACTACATCGATTAATGAATAAATAAGTTTATGTAAAGTTTATTTACCAAAATATATAATAAAAGCATTTGTCCGCGATATTAAAAAGTAAGTAGCCTATGTATTCTTCCAGACTATGGCCAAATTTCGTCCAGATTCGTTCAGCCGTTTAGGCTACAAACTCTAACAAACATCCATCCATCCATCTAAATTTTCACATTAATAAATGCATTGATAAAATTTTATTTTACATTTTTCTCGTCATTTCTCATTTTTCTATCTATAACATAGGAACTTTGAATATTGTTAGTAGAGGTAACTTGTCACTTTAATCTCTATATCAATCTAATTGACGCGTAGGGTCTAGTTTGTTTTGCGATGCAGTGTACATTTCGTGGTATAACAGGTACACCTTGAAATTTGAATATTTTTTATAATAACATTTGTTTATAACGGTTAAGTCTATACTATTATAATAAAGCGTAAACACACACTTCTTTGTTGCCTAAGATGTCAGCAATTACAGCATATTTTTGAATAATTCTTTTTTTAATAAAAAGCCCTACACTTACGTCACGCTTTACGCTATATATTTTCACACCATTAAACATAGGGGGTAAATATTTTGGATAAAAACCCTAATGTGGGAAAGAGACCATAAGTTGCTGCCAACATCAAGGAAGCAAGATTGCCAAGTATTGTCATGTCATGTGATTTTGACATTTGCTATTGATAATTTGACAAATGTAAACAATAAAATTTTCATAATTTCATTTGGATGAAGTCGCACGGGAACAGCTAGTTATGATATAAATATCAAATGTCACACGTGTTAAAGCAAAAGCTCTGTATTGTTTATATTTTCGTAGAACGTCGCCTTCCTTGAAATTAAACTATTAAGGAAGACTTATTAAACATAAAGATCAGATAAAGGTCATGAATAGGTGAATAAAAAACAATTAGAGCTTAAAGCTTGCATTAGAATTTTGTACATCATAAATTAATTGGTATTCAGAACTTTTAAACATTAGATTTTCACTGCTGGAACCTCAGTGAAAATTTGTTGTCTTTGTTTTGATATGAAGAAATGAATGAGATGTAACATGTTTTTGTACAGGTATTTCGGCAATGGAAACTGTAATTTCGTACTCCCATAGTTTAATACTCTTTCGTAGAAACTTAACTATGTTTCAGGATTTTCAACGCGTTATGGTATTGCTTAAATGTACAACGTCATTAATATTATTCACGTATAAGTGATGACGTCATTCTGTACGCAGTATACTCTGTATGGAGCAAAAAAGGTTCATGTTGTATTGTGTAATGACGAAAACCCAATCTATAGTCATGAACATTGTAAACAGGATTTGGATAATTTGTATATACCATAGACACTACTATAAATAGAACAACTTCTGTTAGTCATAACATTACTTGACTACTAGTGGTATCCCGGATAGAGTTTTTTTATTTCATAATGAACTAAACGGAACTTTTGGAAAAAGGTTTAGGCTTTCCTTGTCTTCTTACACTGAGTACTTAGTTTGGAAAACAGAAAGATTTACAGAATTGTAGTGCTTACTGTATATTGACAGTTTTTCAGATTTCCATCTCTTCGTCTATTTAATTATATAAACCTTCTTGAGACATCAACAAAAGCCAATTAAGAACGGTTTATCTCACGTGAA